CAAAGCCCAGGGATGCATGCGTGCTAGAGCTTGCAACTGTCAGCAACGTTGTTTATGGCGTTGTTCTCCAGAAGTCATATAGACACCCATCATGTCACATGAATGCACGATTTGATTTCTTTACAGGTCACCCTTTAGTTAAGATCCTCCCTTCTGCTTGTACATACGTACGTACACATATACAGACACAAATACATTTACATGTTTGCATCCCCCTTCCGCCTGCCACTGTCTCCCACATATCTGCATGATGTTCGACATGTGCGTCGTCTTGCGGCAGCTCGTGAAATTTAGCTCCTCTTGGAGCTACCTGCCCAATGATTCACAGGCGGCAGATACGCAGCGGTGATCGATCAATGCCAGGCATATTCACATCCCGCTCTGCGCACGTGGACGATCCATTTCACCTGTTGTCTGATCGCCTGCAATGGTTGGCCGTGGGGCCTCGTGGCCCGCGCCAGCACCGCACTTGCGAAGCTGGAGCTGGGGACGGCACCGTTGAGCTGGGACTCCGGCCACCGCCCGAGGCTCTACTCCTGCCTCCGCTGACCCCTCGCCCCCCCGCCCGTCCGCCGAGCAGTCGCCCAAACTTCGGGGCCCCTTGTGACAAGCACCCCGGCCTGGCCGTCGAGCTGCAGGCCCGGCATGGAGTTGCCTGCCCCAGTGGCACGGGCTCTGAAAGTCAGGCAGGGTGTTGGGGACGTCCTCGGCGGCGAAGTAGTGAGTGCGTTGGCATATCCCAGACCTCTGACCGCAGGAAAGGGAGAGATAGAGAGAGAGAGAGACAGAGGGGGAGAGAGAGAGAGAGGACAGGCAAAGACAGACAGACAGACAGACAGACAGACAGGGATGAGAGAGAGAGATCACCAGATGGAAAAGCGGAGGCTGCAGCGGGGGGTCGTTCGCCAGGCCTACCAGATTCCCCCGATTTTGAGATCCTGGGACTGAAAGTCCAGCGCGGCAAACACGCACGACTACAATGTTGGCAGCGCTCGTTGAAGACGCCAGTTGTGGGAGTCGTTCCCCATGTTGGAACTCTGGCGTTCGGTCTGGCAGCCTCGGCACATACACTGCCCGCGCTGCTTCCACGCGCAGGGGAGCCAACATGAAGAGCCCAAGGTGTACGGGGCGTTTGTTGCACGATCTGCTTTTCTCCTGAACGTACGAAATACGTTCGTACTGGCGTTTTCGCCGCAAGTCTTCTGAACGTAAGTACGTTCATTCTGGCGTCTTCGCCGCAAGAACTGAGCCGATCGGCTATCGGAGAGACCACGTCTCCCGCACAGAAAGGCTTCCGCGAAGCGGCTACCTTTTCCCCCCTCCTCGTGTGAGCTCTCCTTGGTTATCCTGTCACCATGTCCCTATGTACGTCTCTCTCTCTCTCTCTCTCGACTTGTGTATATGTAGGTGCGTGCGTACGTATATCTACATATATATATATATATATGCATGTAAGTATGTATGTATGTATGCATGTATGTATGCCTGTATGCATGCATGTATGTATGTGTATGTATGCGTGTATGCATGCATGTATTTATGTATAGTTGTATGTATGCATGCATAGCCGTATGCATGCATGCATGCATGTATGTGTGTATTGCGTGCGCCCTTCCTGATATTATCAGACCCTCACGTGTTGCGTCGGGCCGCTGTTTTGCGTCCGCCGCACGTGCCCCTCCTCCTCCTCACCGCCTCTCCTCCTCCTCCGGGCCCCTGCCCTTCGCGCGCCCAGCTTGGCACTCCCCGCACGACTCGGTGCCCTACGGGCGCCTGCATCTGGGGCACCCGGGGGCCCTGGCCAGGCCCGCAAGGGCGGCCCCGCGCCCATTTCGGCACACTTTTTTTTGTTTTGATCCGCGGGTCGAGAGCGAGCCTCTTCCGGTCGAAGCTAAGCGGGCCGCGCACAGCTTTCGTTGACAGAGGGAGGAAGGCAGAAGGAGAAGCCTCACGTCCCCATTTCGGCACACCCCTCACACGTTCCGTGCCCCGGGAGCTCAAAGCGCAGCCCCAGTGGCCGCGCCGTCATCGAAGAAGGAAGAACCACATGAACATAAACGTGTGGCGCTCCGCGCGGATTTCTAGGATCCGCGCCTGGGCCCCCCAGTGGCGCCTCCGGCGCCGCCCCTGGCGCGCTCCGCCCCCTGGCGCGCTCCGCGCGCCAGGAAGGGGGGTCCAGCGCGAATCCAAGAAATCCGCGCGGAGCGCCAAAAGTTTATGTGTATGTGGTTTTTTTTCTTCTTCTACTTCATAACGACACCGCGCTCATTTCGGCACGCCCCTCTCGCGTTGCAAGCCCCATCAAGGAGGACTGAAAATTATGCAGTGTTCGAGATCCGATGCCTCGTCAAGAGAAGATCCGCTGTCAGACATGATGTCGCAATGAGTTCTCAGTCAGCATGTCCTGTTGCATGCTCTGACTGGAGCGCCCTGGGCTCGGAACAAGTCCCTGGCCTGCAAGTTCGCGGTAGGTTCGCGTCCCTGGTTTGGCACCGAACCAGAGAAAACAACCGTCGAGTCAAGGGCATATGGTTCTTGGGCCATTGAGCCAAAGGCCCCCCTGCAACCGAATCCTGGCAATTTGCGCGGTTCCGATGAGGCGCTCGCTCCGCTCGCGCGAATTGTTCGTCGATGGATTCCCGCATGGCCCACTGAACATCCGAATGGCGATTAAAGCGGTCCCAAGCGACATCTCCAAGTGCACCCCGGAGTCACACCAACATGGCTCTCGCAACCACTGGGCCCAATTGAGTCGGGGCCGACCAGGCGCTGCGGCATCGCAAAGAGCACCCAACAACACGACCGAAAACGCGCGCCACCAGGACATCACATAAAAACAACTAAGCTACCCGGAACGAAACAAAGGTCACACTACATTCGGCCAGGGTCCGGCTCAGCCCGACCATCTCCCCCCTCCCCCTCCCCACCGAGGGTGCAGGGCTGACCGCGTCGGATGGCGACGGCGGGTCTGGGTTCCGCTTGCGCTGAAGTGGCGGCGGGGGAGAGGGTGGAAGCGCGCGCGGCTCTGCCTTCAGCGGTGGCCGGAGGTGCGACGCAGGCGCGTCCGCGATGTCGGCGTGAGCCGCTGGAACGCTCTCGCTCGATCAGGATTGCGCTGGGGCAACGCCCTACTTGAGGTCTTTTGAAGCATCCAGCTGCCTGCGGCAAGTCCCGCCACCGTGCCAGCCCAGCAGGTTGGGTGGCGATTGGTCGCGGGGTTACGGGAGGCCGTCGCGTGTGATACCTTGTGTCTCCAGGCTTAGCAGGGCCGTTACGATGATGATGATGATGATGATGATGATGATGATGATGATGATGATGACGATGACGATGACGATGACGATGACGATGACGATGATGGTGATGATGGTGATGATGGTGATAGTGGTGATGATGGTGATGTTGATGGTGATGGTGATTGTGATGGTGATGACGATGGTGATGAAGTTGAGGATGATGCGGATGCCGATGTAGATGTTGATGACGAGGATGATGATGTTGATGATGATGTTGATGAGGATGGTGGTGGTAATGGTGATGATGGTGATGGTGATGGTGATACTGATGATGATGGTGATAATAATGATGATGGCGATGATGATGTTAATAATGATGATGTTGATGATGATCGTGATGATGATCGTGATGATGATGGTGGTGATGATGGTGATGGTGATAATGCTGGTGATAATGTTGATGGTGATGATGATGGTGGTGGTAATGGTGATGATGGTGATGGTGATGGTGATACTGATGATGATGGTGGTAATAATGATGATGGCGATGATGATGTTAATAATGATGATATTGATGATGATCGTGATGATGATCGTGATGATGATGGTGATGATGATCGTGATGGTGATAATGGTGGTGGTGGCGATCATGATAACAGTGGTGATGGTAACAATGCTGATGGCTATTATGACGATGATGATGGTGATGGTAATGGTGAGTATCGTGATGACGTGGACGATGATGGTGGTGACGAAGGTACATGATAATGATGGTGATAGTGATGGTGATGGTGATGATGATGATGATGTTGATGCGGATGGTGTTGATGATGACAGTGGTGTTGGTGATGGCGATGGTGGTGATGATGGTGGTGGTGATGGCGATGGTGGTGACGGCGATGGCGATGATGATGGTGGTGATGGTGGTAACGATGATGAGGATGATGATGACGATGATGATGATTAGCATCCATCATCATCATAAGCATCATGATGTTGATGGTGAGGGTGATGATGATAGTGACGGTGGTGTCGATGATGGTGACGATGATGGTGGTGATAATGATGATGACGACGAGGATGATGATAGTGATGCTGATGGTGGTGGTGATGATGATGGTGATGATGATGGTGATGAGAGTGATGATGATGGTGGTGGTGGTGATGATGATGATCACGGTGCTGATGTTCATCATAATGGCGATGATAATGACGGTGTTGATGATGGTGATGGTGATGGTGATAGTGATGTCGATGATGGCGAAGATGATGACGATCTTGTTGATGATGATAGTGATGAGGATGACGACAAGGAGGCAGCGGAGCAGGAGCAGGAGCAGGAAGAGGAGGAGAAAAGGGAAGGCCGTCACACGTGACACCCCCCGTCTTCACTATTTGCGGAGCTCTCATGGAATTCGTTTTGGCCATCTTGTAGTTGCCTTGGGCTCCTGTGAGGCAGTCTTGGGGGTCCCTGAGGGCCCTCTTGGGCCGTCTTGGGGCCTCCTTGGGCCGTCTTGGAGCCCTTTTGGCTATATGGTGGGTGCCTAGGGGCCGTCTTGGCGCCGTCTTGAACGCCTCTTGAACCCTCGTGGGGTCCTCTTCGGCCATTTGTGGGCACTGTTGGGGCGTCTTGGGCAGTCTTAGGACCATCGTGGAGGCTTATTGAGCTGTCTTGAGCTGACGGAAGCCCAAAAAGGCGATCATGCGAAAATCGCTCAAACACCAAATGGGTAATTAATGAGTTTGGCTTCTTCGGGCCCTGTTGGAGGTGCTCTTAGGGGCCCCTCTGGCCCCTCTTGGAGGCATCTTGGGCTGTCTTGAGGCCATATTCGGCAGCCATGGGGCCGTCTTGGCCCGTCTTCGAGGCAGTTTGGGCCATCTCAGTCAGGTTGCCTGCCTGGGCCGTCTTGGAAGCTCGGGACGCGGATGCATCGTTGTTGTTACCAGGGCCTGTGGCTTGGGGAGCGCGGACCCATCGATCTCTCACGGGGGGTCGTGGCCCTCTGGAGCGGGCGGGGTGCACGCGCCCGTCCGCGGGTAGAGAGGGAGGGTCCCCCTTAGAGCCGGAGAGAGGTGTGAGATCGAGGTCGGTTCGGGGAGGGTACCTCGATGCTCTTCGCCTCTGTTGGATGTTGCTGTGCATCTCGGGGAGGGTACCTTTGGATGCTCTGGCTGTCTTGACCGACGGAGGGCCCCGTGCTCTCGAGAGATGTTCTGCTGGCCCAGGTACACGTGCACTGGGATACAGGAGCCCTAGAGAGCAGCACCCGGCTGTCTGCCACGCCCTCGCCGTGCAGGCACAGCGCCGGCCAAAACAGGAGGGAAGCGGAGAGGGGGCGGCGTGGCGGCTGGGGGCGCAAGCATCTCATGCACGCCTCGTTTTCAAAACGGCCTCAGACTCAGCGAGGATCAAAGCGTGGAGCTCTGTCCATATATACTCCGATGCCTGAAATGTCTTTGGATGTCCGCTAGCAACAATATTCCACTCACTGGCCAATCAGTGGAGCATTGCGCAGGTGAGAAATGATGGCAAGACGGCGGT